TCAGCACAGTAAAACAAAACAAACTCCTATTCTGGACTTTTGACCATGTCCAAAAAACGTATGTCTCTGAATCTTGAATTTATCACCTCCTCTTTGATTGCATTTCCCAGAACTCCAAGTACTCTATATTTGAAGATGATATGAATGGTCTTACTCTCCAATTTATTTGTTTCATGTGGATCGCTTACTGTGCTTTACTGTTTTTAACAGCAATGAATGATGCAAGGAAAAATTTACTTCTGCCAGCTTTTAATTCAACTCAACACCTATTTATTAATTTCTCTTGAATGTAAGCTACCTAAGTTAGATGCCAAATCTTCCAGGTTATTAGCCAAGACAATATTTGATCTTCTAACTATTTGGAGGAAGACCACGAGGCACTCTTTTGAGTTTGGCAACGTGCTCCATACAAAATCCAGAAATGGATTCAGAATGGATCTGAAGAAGAAGTAAAGCATTTAGATATTTTATTATAACCATCCTGTTCCAGAGTTTCCTCAAAATTTTATGTAATTCTTTACTCTTCTATGTCAGAGGTACTGGATAGCTGATGCTTTGCATCTTACTTTTTTCCCCCTGTGCAACAGAATTATCTGAAATTTAAGGACAACTATAAGAAAGTTGTGCAGGTCAAAAAAAAAACAACTCAAAAGGGCTGGTCTGAGAAACAAGAATAAACATAGTTCAGTAAATTCCATAGCTGTGTGCACAACTTGTCCCAAAAGTCTTAGTACAGTTTTAAGTTATGAAAGTTTAAATAGCTTTAAACTGCACCAAGACATTTGGGACATCCTGTCCCATTAAAGATCACACCGACTTTATTTTCACTAGCAGTACAGCAGATAATGAGATAGCACCAAATGTGGGAGAATGCTAATGTTAGGACACACACAAAAAGTAAGTTTAGCCCATTCCAACTTCAATACTCCCTGCTAGAGCTGTAAATACAAAAGGCCAATTTAACAGCATGAAAAGACCACCTACAAGAGCCATACCTGGGACCCAATCAACTTCAGTGTGGATTCTTTCAATTACAGGATCCCTGCCAGGTTTATGGGAAACTTTAATGTGTGTATCACATATTTGAGGGCTATATCATTATGAACATGTTTGATCTGAGGGTGGGAAACCTAGAGCTTAAATAATGCCTTCCCAAGCTGACCCTGAACTGAGCTGTAAATTGGAACAAGTAAAAGAACACAGTGGAGAAGGGAAATGTGTGAGAAGAAAGGTCAAATATTGTGAAGAGTGCAACTCTGGCAAGTGTTGCCATTAAAAATACTTTCACTTCTGTTTGGGGAATGAAATTAGTTAAGTAGGAGTAAGGCAGTTTCATCAAACGAGGCTATTTAAGGGTGTTTGGAGAAGGGGAGGACCAATAAAAGACATAAAGCAAAGTTCAAAGACGCCATCATCACTCGAGTGTGGCAACAGGATATGATTTACAAAAGAAAAATTAAATCATTATGATTGTTAGAAGAACTGAATTACAGTCCATCTAAAAATAAGCCTTTCCGTGAATCAACTGAGTCACACCTCATGTGACTTCTCAAGCATAAAGAACTCAATTGCTTAAGATTTTATGAGTGATAATAACTATTATGGAATACAAACTTCCCAGCAGGCTGTTCTATGTAACCAGCCATAGAAACTGAAGGGAGCATTTCATCCTACCACAATGACAGCACCAAACTCTGTGTTCCTAATCACAGTATGTAATCCTTAAAAAGGGAGGAAAATTTAAACTGTGGAGTAGAAAAGCCAGCAGGATTTGGAGTCAATGGATGTGAGTTCTGATTTCTGTCCTATTACTTAATGCTTATGTGATCTTGTGGCAAGCCACCTCATCCCTTTGTGCCTCAGTTTCCCCACTGGTAAAATGAAGGTGTTGGAATAAATGGCATTTAGGATCCTTTCTTCAACCTTTAGACACCATCACCCTTCTTGAAACCATATTGTTCAAAAGACCCTAAACTACTTGAGTTATAATCTCAACAAACATTAACTATTATAGAATAGAAATTTAAAATAGTTCAGTGGAACAGAAGTTTATCACATAATTTGAAGCTGTGACTTCTAAAATCATTCTATCAAGGAGATAACAAGATTATCAGGGGTATATCTCCCACAGGTACATCTCTTCTTTTCCATAAAATGGGCAAATGGATAAAAAAAAATGCACGGAGAATTAAAAAATGCTATCTGGACTGTGGATAAATTAACTGCTAATGGAGTCACCAGAGAGAAGGCAACACATATATCTATGAATATAAATCTAGAATATTTACTGTTCAAAATACAAATTGAACCTAAATACAAATTAATCTTTGTCTCAGGACCTCATTTCAAGTATAATAAGCCATCAGTAATTTAGGGGAATAAAGATCACTTTTTTTAAAAAGGCCAGCTTTTTATTTAGACCAGTTATAACTAACTTATAAGACAGCTTCTACTAATCATATATGAAAACTAGCTACTTTCCTTTATGATTATCTTGTTAGTAATAGCTAGTGTTTATATAGTACTTTATGATTTGCAAAGCACTTTACATAAGTTATCATATATTATTAAACTCATTTTATTGATAAAGACATTGAGGTAGAGAGAGAGAGTAAGTGATTTGTTTTGGGTCACACAGATAGTGTCTGAGGTAGGATTGGAATTCACCTCTTCCTGACTCTGTCTATCACTCTTTCTTCTATGCCACCAAGCAATGTCTTTTATGTTTACAGAATATCTGTGTATTAGTCTCATTGTTTAGATTTCAGGATGGTAAACTGACAGTATTATTTGCAGATTCTGAGAGTAAAGCTTTAACTTGTTCAGTGACTACTCTAATAAGCCCTTAATATGAGGGGACACAGCAGCTATGCTTCTCCATCAGAAGAGACAGCCATTATCCAGTTTCTCTGACTCACACAGGAAATTCTGCCAATCTCCAATGACTGTTGGCCATGATTTATGGATTCACCCTGATGAGCAGTCTTCTGTTTATGGTGTGGTATCATGGTGGCTGATTCAAAATCAGCCATGGTATGTTGATGGCTCACCAAAGGTTCATACACTCATTTCCTTTGGCTTTCTAGCAAAGATAAATGCAAGCAGATTTTTCCCCTTTTTCTCTTGCTTATCTTTGGCTAAATTTTGAAAAAAATCAGATTAGGAAATAACCCAGAAAGCAAGACACCCTACATTCATGGCTTAAATGACATTGGCAGACTGTTGACAATGAACAATATCCTCATCCTCTGTCAGTACTACGAATAATATAGGTATCCCAGTGATATTTCTAAATAGGATACTGTGTCTTGTCTGTGTCACTTCTATTCACTTCTCTGTGAAAGATAGATCTGTAATTAAACTACAGTCTGTTGCTTTTCCTCATACACAAGCAATCATGGAATCCTCACAGAGTCATGGAATTATAGAGATTTGGGAAGGACCTCATCAGCCTTCTAATCCATGCACTGCCTCAGTCAAACTAAGACCCTTTAAAGGCGTTAGCTTGAAAAGGCCAAAGTCCTTCACTGCATCCTCGGCCATCTCCAGTGGTCCTGATCTGTATCTGGCCACCGGATCCAGATGTGTCTGGAGGAGAAAGTGAGCCTGGTGACTTTGCACTGCCCTCCTTCACTTAAATTCAATCCACCTGCATGTCATGGCATCACCTCTCTAATGTCATGGTCCTCTTTGAGGATGAAGGACAAATAGCAATCCATTAAAGGAATCCTCACTTTAACTGCATGGGAGAAAAATGATCAGCTAGTCTTTGCTTGAAGACTTCCAGGGAGAGGGAAGTCATCAGCATTCAAGGATACCTGTTTCTTGGCATTTGTCCTAGCTATCACTTATTCCTAGAGTGTCCTCCTTCTTCACCTCTTCCTCTTGGAATCTCTGGATTATCTGGATCTAGCCCAAATGCCACCTTCCACAGGAAGCCTTTTCTAATTCTTCTCCCAGATGCTTGTGTCCCCTCTCCCAAAACTACCTTGCTGTCATTTTATATATGTTTATACATACATACTTATACATGTACATGTTCCCCATCAGAACATAAGGCCCTTGTAAAGGACTGTTTCATCTTTGTCTTTGTATCTTCAGTGCTTAACAAGGTGTCTGGAACACAGTGGGTGCTTCATAAATATGTGTTGATTAATTAACTCCCTTTATGATATCACCTGGCTTATTTTGCTTTTCTGAACACAGTTTGACGAACAGTTAAAAAAAATCCATAGTCCTCAAACTGATGAACTTCAGAGAAATCAGAAAGGGAATTCTCAATTAAGCCATTTTGATCATGTAAATGAAGTGTATGATTGCTTGGAAGAGTTTTATTCAATTGAATTCCACAAGTGAATCATTTTGTCAAGTGAAAATGAGCAGCCATAGCATAAAGTACAATATGACTAATCACTTAACCTGTCTGACTCAGTTTCCTTTTTTTTTTTGCAAAATAGGGCCAAGATTAGACTAGATGTCCCCTAAGTTCTCTTCCAACACTAAATTTATGCTCCCAGGAAAGAACAGACATGGGCCCCCCTTTAAAAGATTTATCAAAGAATGAGAGTAATGGGCTAGGTACAGATGTATAGAACTAAAATGATCTAAACAGGAGTTCTTTACTAAGACCTGTGAACTTATTTCCTCTTTTGAAATATTTTGATAACTATATTTCAATATCATTCATTTCTTTCATAATCCTAAATATTTTATATTATGCATTTAAAAAGGGATCCGTAGGCGACACCAGATTGTCAAAAGGATCTATGACATAAAAAGTTTGAAATCCTGATCTAGGAACACTAAAAAAGGTGATATAAATCAAGTACAGATTAATTTCATATTAACTATGTATGTAGGTGTTCAAAAAAGATGTAGAATGATGTAGAAATAGAGGGTTTTGAGCTGGGTAAAATCGTCCAGTGATAGAAATGAAGGTTGTGCCGTAGTAATTGGTCTGGGAGGATATACAGTATGTTTCTGAGCAGCATGCTGCCTACCTTTCTGAAAGAACACCTCTAGCTTGTCCTTGAAAGGCTGGAGATGCTCCTTTGGGGACTCCTTGCACACAACCACCATCTGCTTCTCACTTGCTGTGAAAAGAATCCCAGAATTAGAATGTTAATTAATTGCTTGGCTAGATTATTAGTTGATGTTTATCCAAATTCCAGTGGTTTCCATCATGTCACAATAACAAAGAGGCCCTCACAATAACAAGGGTCCTTTAGGAAAAAGGAAGTGTTATGCCTCCAATTGTTCCTTAGGCAGAAAAGTCAGCTAAGTGGGAAAAGGATAAGGTGGTCTGGTTTTTTTCTGATGCACCAGAGTGGACAAAAATTTTGAAGGTCTAGACTGAGAAGGTTAAGGGTTCTATTCTTCATATTCACAAATTATAGCCCATGTCTTTTCTTCCAAAAAAAAAAAAAAGACCTAGAAGGCAGCTGCTGCACATGCCCCTATTCCTAAGTGGGGCAACTAGGAATGATATGTCAGAATTGTACTTTCTTTAACAAGAATATGGCCATGGGGCCTGACAGTTAGGTCATGAATGGACAGGAAGATAAAAGCTACCATCACCCTTACCAACAACAACCCCTCCAAAACATTAAATACAAAGCTCCCATAAAATTACTATATTTCAGGCTCTAAGAAAGTATTTCGGAAATTTGCAGCAAAATGAACCATCAAGCCACCTCTAAAGGGCAGGTTTGATTTGGCTGCATGAGTGTATATCACATACTATAATTCACCACAACAAAGTACACTCAACCTAGGCAAAAAGACATTTGCCTGAGGTCCCTGTTAACTTGTTCCGGTATCTGAAATCCACTAGGAAAAACAACAACAACAACAAAAAACAAAGGTTTAATTTTTCCAAAGCTGGAGCTAATTAACGAATACTTTGGTCTGCTGGTCATGGCCAGATTCCTGACATGTCCCTGTCTAAGAGAATATTCTGAATCTTTTGGAGCTTCACCGCAAATCAGCCTTGTAGCCTGGTATTGTGATTCATCCTGAATAATCTTGTACTCCAGGAAAGACAGAAACATGCACCTCAGCTCTTGGTTGAGACAAATAGCATCATGGATGCTAGAGAACCTTGAAAGAAAAGGACTTGGGGAGAAAGAAATAATTCTATTTTTAAAACTAATGCTTCAGTGAACTTGGGCCTAGGAAAAACAGATTACTTTGTAACAATAGTAAGTTTTTTAAAGACTACTCAGATATCCCCCAGTGCCATTTTTTAAAAAATATCATCTCCGATAAGATGCCTGGAATCTCGGGCAACTCTTAAGAAATTTTGGGATTGTCAAGGAAATGAAAATCTGATGTTGGAGGTCTCTTGTGTCAGTTCCAGTCTATGCCTATACATTTCTAAGGAATTATTTATTAACTCCCGCCACTTCTAAATTCCAGAGTATCCAGTACGTTATTGTCGCAGGAGCTGAAGGAAAACACACAGTGCTAATCCGTTACTGGTGGAGCTGTGAATTGGTTCAGCTCATTGAAAAATAGTTTGCAATTACTCAAGGAAAGTTACTAAGTCGCTCTCATATTTTGGCCCAGAGCTCTGTTCTACTATTGGGGCTATATCCCAAGGAAGTTATTAATAGTATGAAAAATGTCCATACAAGCATTGTCATGGTGGCATTATCTGTCAAGGCACAAAGCTAGAAATAAAACATGTGCTCAATGATTGAGAAATAGGTGAACAAACTATGTTATATGAATACAATGGAATTTTTGCTACAGAGTAAGTATGATGTGATAAAAATAATATAGAATTTGGAGTCAAGAAGACCTGAGTTCAAACTCTACCTCACATGATTACTAGATCTGGCAGGGGTAAGTCACTTAACATCTCTGGGCCTCAGTTTTCTTATCTATAAAATGAGAGAGTTAACTTCTGAGGTCCTTTCTATTCCTCAATCTATGATCTCATAATTTTATGAATGATGAAGATGAAGAATTCAGAAAAACTTGGTAAGAGCCACTTGAAGTCTCGAGACAGGAAAAGAACAGAGCCAAAAGAATTATATATACAACGACTATAATGATATAAAGTCAACATTGAGAGGCCACAGAACTCTGGTAAAGTATAATGGTCAATGTTAGCACCATGCTATCAGTCAAGGGACACATTCCTCCTTTCTGTCAATAACTAATCACCTGTATTTCAGGGAGTGTACTTTGTCAGGACAGTTTGAGCATATTGGGTCTCTGCTGTATCAAAACGAAATATATCAATAAATTTTAAAATAAGATAAAATACCTAGTGTTTGCTGGAACAGTCAGACCCTCTTGGGGGTGGGGGGTAGGACAAATAATTCTTAGAGAACTATCCCAACACTCATTAAGGAAATATGTCCATGAAGAGAACAAAAGTTTGTTATTCCTGAGACAAATACTATTTCAATCATGCATATTTACCTTGCAGAAGAAATTTTTTAAAACCTTCTTTTGCTCTTTTTTTTTTTTAAAGCCAATCTTCCCTGGTTTCTCTGAAATAATCCCCTTATTCATTTCTTATGGTAAAATAGTATTCTATTACATTCACAATCACAGATTTCTCATGCACTCTCCAACTGATGGACCCCACCCCCCACTTTTGTTTTCTGTTCTTTACCACCACAAAAAGAGCTTTTGTAAATATTTTTGCACATAAGGGTTTTTTTTTTGTCTTTCTTTAACATCCATGGGGTATAATGCTAGTAGTGGTATTCCCAGATCAAAGAGTATGCACAGTTTGGTGTCTTTTGGGGCAGGTTTCCAAATTACTTTCCAGAAAGTCTGTACCAACCTACAGCTTCTTTTGCTTTTATTATGTGACATTTTAAAAAAATCCAATAAAACAAAACAGCTCTTCCCCCAAATCCAAAATAAAAAAATAGAAAAAAAATGAATTTAGAATTCTGAATGGTCTTTGCCTATTTCAGAGACTAAACCTCATCAATGATTTAACAAAAGTCTCAATGCAAGGAAATGTCACATATCTTAATGGAAAAATATGAACTGCAATTTAGTGAATGCATTGCTGGGCTAAGAGAGCTAATCCAGCAGAAGGAATACTGCACTTGATGTTAGAAGATGAGTCTGGATCCTGGGTCTACCATGTATTAGTTGTATGATCTTGGTCAAGTGCCTTACCCGAAGTTTTGATTTCCTTAAATACGAAATAGAAATAATAGCTTTTTCACTACCTAATCCACATGATTATTGTGAATAATTAGATGAGATATGCATGTCAAACAGTTTGTTTAGTTAGGTCTCAATTAGTGCAAACAATGAATCTCCCCACCCCTTGCCCAAGTAGTAGCATTATTTGAATTTGTACTGCATTTTTCCACTGGCCTGAAACCAACCACCATATTTTTCATAATTATAATTTCAAATAGTGAAAATTAAAATGCATGGGACTACTTCAGGGAATTTATTATTCACCCTAATCAGAACCTAGCTGTAAATTTTAAAGTGCTCTATAAATGTCAACCATCATATAACGTTTTTCCCAAGACAACAAGTTAATCTACCACAGGAGCCATCAGATTTGGAAAAAAAAAAGTTGGGGAAGATATCAGGTCAGAGGCCAAAAAAGTATCTGTGCCACTTCTGGTCTCAGATGTCCCAGATACTCAGACCTTTTCAAATAAGATTATAAAAAACAAAGATTTAGAGCTCCAAGGACCATAGAGGTCATCTAGTCTAACCCTCTTATTTTATAAATGATGAAACTGAGGTGCAGAGAAGTTAAATGATTTGACCCTAGTCAATCACATAAGCAGTTAAGTGACAGTGATGGAATTTGAGCCTTAGATCCTCAGACTCCAAATTCAGTGCCCTTTCCACTGGATTAGCCCTTAAAAATATGTAAAGTAATGGCAAGCCTATGGCTTGTGAAATTAGATATGCAGATAAAATTTCTGAACTCAGATAATACTGAAAATATATCCTCTCTCACAAAATAAAGGGGTTCAATTATAAATAATCGCTAAGGTACCTTTTGGGGGCAGCTAGGTGGAGCAATGATTAGAGTGCTGGGCCTGGAGTCAGGAAGAGTCATTTTCCTGAGTTCAAATCTGGCCTCAGACACTTACTAGCTGTGTGACGCCAGGCAAGTCACATAATCCTGTTTGCTTTAGCTCTTCATCTGTAAAATGACCTGGAGAAGGAAATGGCAAACCACTCCAGTATCTCTATCAAGAAAACCCCGAAAGGGGTCATGAAGAGTCAGACACATTGGAAAAGGACTAAACAACAAAGTCTCTTTTCAGCTCAAGAATTCTGTGCTTCTATGTAAATAGAAGAGTAGGAGAAAAGACTGATCAAATAAGTTAATTAGAGGTGCATTTACATATCTATTTATTGAGGCCAATCGCCTACTTACACATGATGCTCTCTTGTGACTTAGTCTAAGAAGAGAGTATGGCTGAGTAGAAAGGGCCCTGATGTGGGAATCAGGAGACCTAAGTTCTTACCCTAGCTCTGCCATTAACTACTTGCATGAAATCAGACAAGTTACTTCCCTTCTGTGGGCCTTGGCTTCATCATGTAGTAACCCTAGTCCCAAAGCCAATTGGTATGGGATTTTCTCCTCAGTTGTGGAGAGGAATGTCTTGCCCTGTGCAAGGGGTGGGGTGGGGCTGGTGAGAGAGGGGAGCTCTTCAGTCTTCTTGAGTTAAAGACTCTGGGAAAACATGAAAAGAACATGAAGTAGGATTGGCATCTCCCATCTTCTCTCTTGAAGCTAGAAGCCAGAAGCTCTCAAAGTGACTGCAGAACCCAAAGCAACTCTGAGCCTGAAGAAGACTGAAGAGTTCTCCTCTCTCACCAACTCCAACCCAGCCTACACACAAAGCAGCATATTCATTACCACCATTAAAGAGAGAGTCCCTTACCAAATGGCTTTGGGATGGGCATTGGGACACTTTGCTTTTCTACTTACATATATATCTAGCACTCAGCATACATAAAAGGAGGATGTTAGGTTTATGTTTCTATGATGCCAATATTGTTCACAGGAAAACAAAAATCCACTTGAATTGCCACAATCACGTTTGAATTTCATTCTTGCACTTCATAGCAGGGATCCAGA